GGCTCTGCTCCCTGGGAACAGGGACAGGAGAGAGGGAACGGCCTCAGCTTGGGCAAAGAATGGCTTAGTTTAGATATTAGAGAGGATTTCTTCATGGGAAGGGTGCTCAGGCCCTGGTACAGCTGCCCAGGGCAGGGGTGGAGTCCCCACCCCTGGCAATGTTCAGAAAACATGGATGTGGCACTTGGGGACACAGGTTAGTGTGAGCACGGTGTGCTGAGCTGATGGTTGGACTCTGATCTCAGGGGGCTTCTCCAACCTTAACAATTCTGTGACCCATGGCCATAGAAACCAGCAGATGCCTCCCTGAAGATCAGCATTCCTTCTTCTCCATGGACATGTTCTCAAACTTTCTCTTGAGGAGTGGCCTTGCCCCGTCCAGCCCCGGGAGCGTTCCCAGTGCTCTCATCCCGCTGTGGTTTCCAGCCCGGCCACAAACTGCCAGCTCACCCCAGCTGGGGGGCAGCTGATAGCAGCACTGTGTTCCTGGTCCTCAGCACGCTCAAGAGGGCGGAAAAATAGTTGGGAAAGGAGGCTGAAATCCACTGGGAAGGACAGAAGAAGGAGAGGGAGGAGGAGAAGAGCAACATACGGCCAATCCTTGAGCTCGAGCTGAGCAGAAGGTGATGAAATCCATGGTGAGTGTGTGATAATGGGGTGCAGGAGGAGGTTCTGCCACGGCACGGTGATATTGGGAAGTTAGAAATGTAAACAGGAATGGAGAACTTCTCATCAGAAACCACACGTGCGTGATATCGGCCTGGGAATAGGGGGGTGGCATAACCGGGCTGGAAATGGCACCTTTGGGCACAGGCAGGGAAAATACCCCTTCAAAACAGGCACCAGGAGAAACGATGCAGCTGGCTGTGCTTGTTTACATCCTTCTGAGGGCAACTTGCAGCTAAAGAAAATCTGGATCTGTTTGTTTTCCCAAGCTCTTTTTCTCTTGTGCCATTTCACTTTCTGCTTATCAAGCCATCCCTCTCCTGCTCGGGGTAGATAGAGCCTGTCAGCGGAGGAACTGAAGAGGCGACTTCCCAATCACCTCATTAAACAAACATGTTTATTAGAGCTTCTCCAGAGTGCTTTTCCTAGCTGTTTGCCAATGTTTTACTTAAAGAAATGTCAAGAAAAATATTGTCACAGGCTCATATAATTTAGATTTTGGAGTTCCTGTAGACCAGCACCGCTCAGGGTAGGACTGACTTTGATGTCGGACTGGACTGCGTAAGGAATTGGAATCCCAAGGGTTGAAATATCTCCAGGGATAAAAGCTCTACAGGTTGGAAACCATGATTTGGAGTTTCCCCCACAGTTGTGTTAGTACTTGTATTTCACTGTGACAGTGTGATTGATTTACAGTGCAACTGCTCTACTTCTCTGTAGCATCTTCCATGAGAAACAGCAGAGGTGAGAGCTGTGCTGGGAAAAGCGTTCACCTCATGCCAGAGTTCCCAAAATAGTCAGGGGAGCAGGATCTGAAGAAGGTGGTTTAAGCAAAAGCTTTAAGTTTAAATCCTCCTGCTCCCACCCACCCCCTTCAGCCCTTGGGCCCTGGGACAGGGTCACTTCTGATGTCCTTGAGCTCCTGAACTGAAATGATCTGAAACCAGGGCAGGGATTGACCCCCTCTGCCCCCTCAGCTGAGACCCCCCTGCAGAGCTGCCCCAGCCCTGGGAACAGCACAGGGAGGACGTGGAGCTGCTGGAGAGAGTCCAGAGGAGGCCACGGAGATGCTGCCAGGGCTGGAGCCCCTCTGCTCTGGAGCCAGGCTGGGACAGCTGGGGGGGTTCCCCTGGAGAAGAGAAGGC